CCGACTCCGCAGGAGAGTGCGACGGAGCTGTGGATGAGCTGCATGCCAGCGTCCTGGGCCTCCAGCTGGCTGTGCCGGAGTGGGAGGTAATGAACATAACGATAATATTCCACTTCAATATTAATGGTAACGGCATTTTGGTAATATTAATTACGTAGACAGTAGACGTAGACGTAGACATTACGTGACAGTAGAAATAAACTTTGTTTAGAGTGTACCTTTTACATATATTCGTGTTCTAGATTCGTTGAAAAGAATGTAAGAGGTAGAAAGAAGAGTTTCCTGCCATAAAGTATAAAGTATATACATTCTTGATCAGGATCAATACTCGAATCGATCTGTCCATGTCCGCCTGTCTGTCTAGAATGTTGAGATTAGACATGCAGAGACATGATTAGACATGACATGATTAGACATGAGACTAACATCCAGAGACATAGACTCAGCGCAAAATTGTTTCCTGATGTTGCCACTCCCACTTTAACCCCTCTGATTTAAAAAAATGTTTTGATTATAACATGCAACTCGTACAAGTGACCCTCCCACTAGGAACCCGAACTTTGATAAGTTTAGGACTGTATATTATTTACACTACCATACTCTCCCCAACTTGCTTTCTATTTAAACTAGGCCCTTCTCACCGCCCTGGTACTCTCGGTCATTATCGTGCTGACCATCATCGGGAACATCCTGGTGATTCTGAGTGTGTTCACCTACAAGCCGCTGCGCATCGTCCAGAACTTCTTCATAGTGTCGCTGGCGGTGGCCGATCTCACGGTGGCCCTTCTGGTGCTGCCCTTCAACGTGGCCTACTCGATCCTGGGGCGCTGGGAGTTCGGCATCCACCTGTGCAAGCTGTGGCTCACCTGCGACGTGCTGTGCTGCACCAGCTCCATCCTGAACCTGTGCGCCATAGCGCTCGACCGGTACTGGGCCATTACGGACCCCATCAACTACGCCCAGAAGCGGACCGTGGGTCGGGTCCTGTTGCTCATCTCCGGGGTGTGGCTGCTCTCACTACTGATAAGTAGTCCGCCGTTGATCGGCTGGAACGACTGGCCGGACGAGTTCACCAGCGCCACGCCCTGCGAGCTGACCTCGCAGCGCGGATACGTCATCTACTCTTCGTTGGGCTCCTTCTTCATTCCACTGGCCATCATGACGATCGTGTACATCGAGATCTTCGTGGCCACGCGGCGTCGTTTGAGGGAGAGAGCCAGAGCCAACAAGCTCAACACGATCGCTCTTAAGTCCACCGAGCTGGAGCCGATGGCCAACTCCTCACCCGTCGCCGCCTCCAACTCCGGCTCCAAATCGCGCCTCCTAGCCAGCTGGCTGTGCTGCGGCCGAGATCGCGCCCAATTCGCCACGCCTATGATCCAGAACGACCAGGAGAGCATCAGCAGCGAAACCCACCAGCCGCAGGATTCCTCCAAAGCGGGTTCCCAAGGCAACAGTGATTCCCAACAGCAGCACATGGTCGTGCTGGTTAAGAAGTCGCGTCGCGCCAAAATCAAGGACTCCATCAAGCACGGCAAGGCCCGTGGTGGCCGCAAGTCGCAGTCCTCGTCCACCTGCGAGCCCCACGGCGAACAACAGCTCCTTCCCGCCGGCGGGGATGGCGGTAGCTGCCAGGCCGGCGGAAGACACTCTGGAGGCGGAAAGTCTGACGCCGAGATCAGCACGGAGAGCGGGAGCGACCCCAAGGGTTGCATACAGGTGAGAAGTGAATCCTGATTTCCTCTCTATCATTCGTTGAAAAGTATGTAACAGGAAGGAAGCGTTTCTGACCATAAGTATATGTATTCTTGATCAGGAGAAATAGCGGAGTCAATCTGGCCATGTCCGGCTGTCCCTTCGTCTGTCCGTCCGTATGAACGTCGAGATTTCAGGATACAAAAAAAACATGCAGATTCCAGAGACCAGAGACCAGATGATTGATGAACTTTTTCGTTCGCACTCCCACAAGCTGAGTAACGGGTATCTGATAGTCGAGGAACTCGATTATAGCGTTCTCTCTTCTTATGTAAATCAAATTATTTTTGATAACACTTTTCAAAACTTTTAACTATACCAGTTACTCGTAAGTATATATACATTCGTGTAAAAGTATGTATTAGTTAGAAGGAAGCGTTGCCGACCCTATAAAGTATATCAGGAATACTGACTTGTTTTGTGACCATGTCCGTCTGTCCGTATGAAAGCTCTGATCGCTGGAACTACAAAAGCTAGAATATTGAGATTGGGCGTTTGAATGACATAGACGCAGCACAACTTTCTTATTTCTATCGAAAGCCTAGAAAAATTTCGAAATTTTTAGTTCGTTTTTCACAAGCTGAGTAATGGGTATCTGATAAGCATCCAGATTCCAGTGACCCCTACGCTGTGCAAGTTGGTTTCGCCCACAATTTTGAAAGATTGTTGGTTTTACTACGATTTATAATTTTTCTTCAAGGGTCTATCGATATGCCAAAAACCCTAACGACTACAGACTACCCATTTCACTTTGGACAAATGTTTATTTTTTTTCTATTTTATTATTTCAATGGAAAATGAACAAAAAATTGTAAAATATTTTCTGGCACCCCTGATGGGTATCTGATATTCGACGAAACCGACTTAAGCGTTTTCTCCTGTTTATTTTCTAATGTCACAAATCTAAAGTTACAAATCAAAAGGGGTTTTTTATGGAAATGGAAAGCCAAATTTAAATTGTCCACCTTAGCTCCTTATATGGCAGAAAAGGCTTTTAAAAACGCAACCTTTACTAACTTCAAGTTAATAAATTAGTTGAAATAATACTTTAAAAGGAAAACCCCTTCTTATTACTAATATCCATGTCACTTGATTCCCAAAACTTTTCTTCACCTCGTTTCCAGGTCTGCGTGACCCAGGCGGACGAGCAGACGTCCCTTAAGCTGACCCCGCCGCAATCCTCGACGGGAGCCGCCGCCGTTTCCGCCACTCCGCTGCAGAAGAAGACAAGCGGGGTAAACCAGTTCATTGAGGAAAAGCAAAAGATCTCGCTGTCCAAGGAGCGGCGGGCGGCTCGCACCCTGGGCATCATCATGGGCGTGTTCGTCATCTGCTGGCTGCCCTTCTTCCTCATGTACGTCATCTTGCCCTTCTGCCAGAGCTGCTGCCCCACGAACAAGTTCAAAAACTTCATCACCTGGCTGGGCTACATCAACTCGGGCCTGAACCCGGTCATCTACACCATCTTCAACCTGGACTACCGACGGGCCTTCAAGCGGCTTCTGGGCCTGAATTGAGGCAGGCTGGCAGGGGCGGGTGGAAGATTTCGGCCGGGCCAACCAAGGTTCGAGCGGGAGAGCGTTACTCAAAGCTTGTGCCAAACTTAAATGGTCGTTTATGCGATCAGCGGAGATCTCAGTCTGTAGTTGGACCGCCCGTTGGCGAACTTTTGAATTGAACTTCGACCCATATATACTTTCAAATTATTTCTTTGGCAACTAATTTTCATTAAGTTGATGAATATGATAAAGCTTGATAAATACGATTAAACTGTTACATTTAACGTTTAGGCAAACTGAAAGCCACCACATTGGAAGTCGAAAATGAGACTCGAGTGTACATATAGTTTCAAACTAAGCTATTATTTCTAGCTGTACTTAAAATTCTTAAAATTATTTAGCCTTAAACATTTTGTTAATCTATTTTCGGAATAGATTCAATACTCATACTAAAATGGGTTGTGCTGGGATTAAAGTGAGGAAGTATGCCCCTAGCCACGGCTATTAAGAAAATCATCAAAATTACACGGTAAAGAATTATACATACATTATACATATACACCAGCTAAGAGACATCCCAAACGAGAATAACATCAAATTGAATTGAATACAATTAAATTAAATGTTTAGGCACAAGAATTGTGGCAACTTCGTGTTTCACCCTATGCGTATGGAAAACCAAAAAGGTGTTAGTTAAATTAAATCTGCGCTCAAGATATGTAAGCAACTACTAAGATAAATAATAACTTCCAAGGCATCACTTTAACGATTTGTATTTATATGTAATTTAATTGTAGGCAACCACTATACCTAATGTATACTTTGAAATACGCTTTGAACTATTTGTTAAATAATTTATTGATTAATTGTTTTAATGGCATAGCAACTATTGTGTTGAGTGGGCAGCTTAAAGCTAGCACATCGAAACTTACTTAAGATAGATAAATGTTTAATTGCACTTTACAAAATGCAACAGAGTTGGCGAAAGGAGGTACTTTAATGGATGTATAAACTCAAGTACATGCTATATCGTATACGTATGTCACAACTTATGTCTTTTAACGACGATGTACGATTGTTTCACTAATTAACTTGTTTAACGAGCAAAAGCAAGCGTAAACGAAAAAATAAAAGACAGATTCGAATTAAAGTTATAAAAAAGCGTTTGAATTTATGGAGATTGCTGGGTTCTGTTACATATGTAAATCAAGACTTTTTTCACCTTTCGAGATATCTCGCTGAAAAAATTATTGATAGCCCGTAGTTTTAGCGACACCCTTTGATAACTCATATTATATTTGCGAAATATGAAATAGCGTCTTTTCTCTCATTCTTTTCGTCACTATGCATATATTTTGCATACATTTTTTAACCAAACAATTTTGACGATAACTTCCTTCTGCATATGCAGCTCTGAACGGGTTCCAGATATTAAACATTACAGGAAATTTTCAAAATTGCCAAAATATTTTAGTTTAGTAACCAGAAAAGTTTCCCTTTTGCCATAACTAAACGTCCCGCAGAAAACAAATTAGTTGTGATTTTTATCGACATTGCTTGATGCACCAGTAGTGCATCGTGCAAAATAAATCAGCAAATAAATAAATAAAATAAATAGTGCAAATAAATCAGTACATTACAATAACACTCATGTTTTAATATTTCTAGCACAATTTTAAGTTATCTCATGTAAAGTATGCGGCATATCGGTATTAAGTGTTGGCGGGCAACTATCGGATACGTGCGATAGCCATTCACAGCGAACGCCGGGTCGTTCCAGGTAGCTCAATTGCATCCCATCGCTAACAAAGTGACGGCTTGTAAATTGTTGGGATTTAAAATTTAAAATTGTCTGGTGGACAGGGCTTGATCCCAAATATCGCTTACCTGGGAGCGCGGATTTCCGCGAAGTGAGACGCGGTCGCAGACAGGCAGAACGCGAAGCGCATCCCTGTGATGAATATAAGCCACCGACGCACTTGAGAGACCAGCCAGACCAATGGAGACCTCGGAAGCGATGAATACTTGTGAGGAGGGAGACCAGCTGAACGGTTCCTTCCGCCTGCAGTGCTCGATGTCCTCCGTGGACATCGAGAGCGAGAGTGACCTCTCGCTGGCCTTCGAGCGCGAGGAGCAGTCCCCGGGTGGCAGCTGCGACGAGCTGCCGGCCTTTGAAATCCGCGCCTTCTCGCCCCACGGACGCACCCCGTCGCCCATCGACGATCTCGATCTGTCGGACATCGAAACGCCCAAGCAGCCGCTGAGGCAGCAGCTCCCTCCGGACGAGGAGGAGCCCTCGCGCCAGAACGATCCTCAGTACGTGGCCCTGCACGAGATTAACGCCCAGATCAGCCCGCCCAGTGACGCGGACGACTCAAAAAACTTGGAGACCATCTACGAGGGCGTTTTCCTGAGCACCCCGCCCCGCGATAAAACTTCCAACTCGGGCATCTCCCGCTTCACGCCCAAGCGCGGGCGTGCAAATCTCATCGAGCTGATGGCCAACCGGCTGCACAGCGGCAAGGAGAACCAGTCGCCGGGAGCGGGAGTCTCCGAACCGCATTTGCCATCGCCACTCAAGGACCCCACATAGTGACCGCAGTCCACCCGACCCAACCAAAGCCATGGAGCCCTCGCTCAGACTGCCATCGATGTTCTAGAATAAGTTACGAATTACCTGAATGCATGGTTCGATTCCAGCGGTCATCAGGTGTACACCAAGATGTGTATCCTCGGCCGATCCGTTTTCCTATTTCAGACTAGAAGATTTTATAGTGGTAAATAAAGATAGTCGTCTTTCCATGTTTAAAACATTAAACCAAGGTCACGCTCTTATCTGTCGGGCAAATGGTACAGGTAGGCAGAAGGAAGGTTAATTTCTCAAAGAACCAATTGATCGGCGGTACCTGGAACCAGACCGCGAATAATCCACTTATGTATCCAATGGAAACTTCGATCGATAATTGTCGGATCTTGGAAAAAATTTCAAAGTAAATCCTGAAATTGATTGTCTAATTAAGTAGGTTAAACTTCATCAAAAGTTTCCAATAATACGTTTACTAAAATAGAATATATAGTTTGATGTAACAATCTGAAAAATAAATGTAAGATTAATTACTATGAGCGTTTTCACGAACGTCAATTTATGATGTGCGTATTACTACGATGTTCGATCAAAAACTTTTCTGAAAATATCAATAGTTTCTTACCAATATGACATTTAATGGTAATTTTTGGACCTTGCGTACCTAAGGACTACGGATTTTACACTAATCCTATTGTACCTAGGCGGTAGTTTGAGTAAACTAGTACAAAAATAAGTAATTTACCTAATCTATGATTAGGAATGTTGTAATATACTAAATAACTACATTGCTGAGTCGGATTGCGAATTCGGATCCTACACGAATTCCAGGCTGGAAGCATTATTTAAACTTAAAATTAAGAATTGGTACGAGAATTTTAAGTAATATAGAGTAATAAAATCGGGAATGTCTTAAAGGTTCTTGAACACATTCAAAAATAATACAGCGACCAGGACCGGAGAAAATGATTATTTAACTTTACAATTTTGTAAGCAGTGATACAAAAGTTAAATAACGGATAAGGTTTAAAAAAGCTATCCCGGTTCCCTGTAAGTTGCCTTTGTTTCTATATGGCAGTGTGAAACGCATTTTGTTCCGCGAGTCCTGTCGTGCAATTCGCCTCCAATCAGAAGTTATTTGAATGACGCGACGCTGTGAATACCTTGACGCGCAGCAATCCTGGATTGACCTCTTGCCATCTGAAAGAGGCGAATGATTAGGCGACTATTAATGCAAATTGCCCCCTTACTTACCGCAAACGGCGTTCGCCTAGCCTGGCCTTCACCCTATTCTTAATAGTGGACACTCCGTTTGCACTGTGAAGACCTCGGCCCGTGATAATGAATACGTGCTTGTACACGCGGGTGGTGCTGCGCAACACAGTTATGTGGCGATCAAGGAACAAGTCCAGACAGCTGATCGCCTCTACCGTGTGTAGGTAATGCAGGTCTAGCAGGTCCGGGTTGTTCTGGGTGTGCCGATGCACCTCAATTATGCAACTGGCCGCCCGATGATTGAAGAATTCGATCTTCTGCTTGTGTAACTGGGCTATCTCCGAGTAGTATAACGCCACGCTACCATCGCCGCGCTGTACCGCCTGTTTAGCCTTTAGATAGCACTCTGCTTTAAGTTGGGAGTGATGGGCTGCCAAGTTTCGCGTCTCCTCAAAGTCGCGAAGAGCAGCGCACTTGGCCTCCTCATGCAGTTGGGGCGACCGGCCATGGGCGGACGAAGTGGAACTGGAGCGCGGACCTTGGCTGAAGGAGTTCTGTTGCTTTTGTTGCTGCTGGTTTCGCTCTTCCGCCGCCACTTGCGCACTAAGCTTTTCGCCCTCGCGATGGGCCTTATCATAGAGTTCCGCTTTGCTCAGCGTACTCTGAACGTTGCTGTCCAAGACCTTTACGGTTTGAACGTAATTGCTTCCGGTTGCCGAATAGATCTCAAGCACAATGTCAGGGGGGACGTCGGGAAACGTCTCGCACAGTTTCATCTTAGTTAGGTGGGTAGCTATATCGTTGGGCGTTTGTTTGCGTGCGGCCAACTCGGCTGCCTTCTTGGCGGCCTGCTGCTCGCTGTTATATATGCTCCAGGCCAACTCCATATCCAGAAGCTCAGCGACATTGCTCGGAGACTCGCTGCAATCGGCGTAACCTGGATGCTTGAGCAGGCGGGCGAACTGCTCGTCATCGCGCATTGTCTGCTGGCGAATCTCCTCTTGCTGGTTAAACACGGCTTCCATCCACAACATGTAAAGCTGCTTGGCTAGCTGACGTGGCACGAATATTTTTGTTTCGGCGGGTAGCTCCTGTTCCGGCGACAACATCTCGACCTCTGTGTGGAACTGATCGTGCAGCTGCTTAATTAAGGCGCCGCCCACATCTATTTCCAGCAGAGTATTTTCTTCAGGGTCCTCCTCCTCCTGCTGTTCTAGCTCCGGTTCCTCGGATGCTTCCGGTAGGTTAGGCACTATAGGTTGATCCAGGATCCCATTACGGATGTCGCGGATTTTGCGCGTGTGCTCCGAGTATTGTTCGTCGCCTAATAAATAGTAAATATTAGTTATCAAATATCGAAAGTTAACTATTTGACAAAAAAAATGGTAGGCAGTTCTTTTAATAAGTTCATTCTTAATGAACTCCAATTAGAAGAATATCTTACCTAACACAAAACAATTCTGGATTTGCAGTTGCAACTCTTTGTTGGTGGGGGCCGATGCACGTTTATTGCGCGGTTGACGTTGCGGCTTAGGTGCAGTCTTCGATACCGATAAAATTGGTGAGGTGCAGTTGGGAGTGGAAATTGGAGATTCCTGGCTCTCCCCCGCCTTGTCGCAGTCGCAGTCGCATTGAAACTGCGCCGCTTCCTCGCTATCAACAGTTTCCTCAAATCCGGTCTGATCGGAGCCAGTGGCCGCGTTTAGCTCGTCCTCCTTTAACAGAATATCAACGGCCCAATCCACGTCGGCCTGGCACTTTACAAACAGATCCCAGAGGCCAGTCAGCTGTTTATTGGGATACATCTGGCGCAAGAGTGCAAACCCTTTCGGTTCATTGGGACAGTCTAGGCAGTGCCTCTGAAAGTGCTTTGCCTCACTAGGCTCCGCTTTTGACGGTTCCTCTTTTGGTTTGCTGTCCTCGCGGAAGAGATCAATAATAGACACTTCGCTCTTTACAGGAGCTGCGGCAGCCAAAGCGTCCGGAATTTCCGAAACCGTCGCGTCGCCTGTGTCTTCCGAGTACACCTTCTCGGACCAGTATGATGGCGCTTCCTGCTCGTAGGGCACCCACGTTTGGGCATTGGCATTCAGCTTAAAGGTATTATCGGCTGGCGCTGGGACTGGGGCTTCCGGCGGTTTGCTCTCCTCGAAGCTGGGGATGACAGGCACGGCGGGAAGGGGTGGATGCTTGCGTAGTTGCGGCAGCTCCACAGAGTACCTTGTCTCCTTCATTAACTGTCGCATAAAATAAAATGTCGAAATTGATAATATAAATTAATTTTAATAAAGGTCATAATAAAGGTAATAATATACAAAACAAATTAAAACGCTATAGTCGAGTCCGACTATTAGATAGCCGTTACTCAGCTAGTGGAAGTGCGAACGAGAAATTTTCACATTTTCTAGAACATCTATAGAAATAGGGAAAAATAACAAACAAATGTCGTTAGACCGGGCCGTGGCAAAAAGCTATTTGGCAAAGCTATAGAAACTTACAATGCTAATAAAGAAATGAAAAAATATCACATTTTTCAAACGCGTGAGCGTGTCAGTTTTGTCCGGTTTGTGGGCGTTAGAGTGGGTGTGGCATTTGGAAACAAACTGCATGCTTAATTTCAACATGCAAGCTTTTGTAGTTCCTGAGATCTAGGCGTTCATACGGACAGACGGACATGGCCAGATCGACTCGGCTCTTGATCCTGCTCAACATACTTATATGGTCGGATACGATTCCTTCTACCTGTTACATACTTTTTATCGAATCTAGTATACTCGTGTATACTTTATATGGACGGAAACGCTTGCTTCTACCAGGTTGTTGCCGCAAGTGTGTTGTTATGTTAAACAAAATTCGAAGTTAGAAACTGGTTGTCTATTAAATAAGCAAGCTAGACGACCGCTATATACTGATCCTGAACTATCCGATCCTCGTCTCTTTGCTATAGAAAGGCGACTGTTTCTCGGATTGGCCACGAACGGCAAGCGGTATACATTTATTGCCAAAGACTTTTTGACTTATTGACCGTGGTATACCCTAAGATATTAATTTATTAAAAGCTCAAGTAAAATGGACGTGGTGTTCCGAAATAAATTATACATACATATGTATGGAAACCACTTCAAGTGCAAGTGCCGTCTTACCTGTATGAGCTCTCCCGCAGTAGTGCGCTCGTAACGCTCCAGCATGCGCTGAATGTTCTCACGGGGGACGTTGTGGATGTTTTTCTGAGCCAGCTTGCTGGCAGACTTGCACCAACTAGTCTGTGGCTCGAGAAGCTCAATGACGTAGCCGTGGCGCACGGCGGATTGGACGTATGGCTGCATCTCCCACACCATTGTATTGGTGTTATCCACGATGATGGGGCTCCAGCCGCATGCGGTCTTATCGCGCACTCGCTGCTGGTTCCACTCGTGGGCGGCTGGCAGCAGAGTGCGGTTGAAGTCATAGCCGCGGCGCGTCTTGAAATAGTCGTCCGAGCTAAAGACAAAATCGGTCACCTGGTGTTGCTCGAGTAGGTGCGCCTGGCGCAGCAAAGACTCTGCCAAAGTAGTTTTACCGCTGCCCGAAGGACCGCGCATTATGATCATCAGCTTGTGGCCCGCCTGTGCCCGCTGGCAAATCGAGCTTAGCTGTTTGTTACTCCGGTTGTTGTTCATATTGCTGACGGGGTTCATTCTTATGGAGTTTGGGGCTCCAGCAGAAGCATATTTCCTGGGAGTACCGCCGCTTCTGCTGCGGCTACTATTGCTATTGTTATTGTTCTTGTTGTTGTTGCTGCGCCACAAGAGCGTCAAATCCGATGACTCGGCTGAATCCGAATTTCGGGCTGTCGCCATTCCGTTTGTTTTCTTTTTGCTTGCTTGCCCTGTGAAAGAAGATCATTTATAGCGGATCATAACGTAATACGCAGTAATCAACATACCCCCCACCCCCAAATTCTCTTATCGCATCCGGACTCACCAATATCTGACCAGACCAAGATCCCTGATGCCGTAACTGCGGGAACGTGTTTATGTCTTACTCCTTCAATGGGTCCTCATGTAAGGATAAGCCCAGATCAACCTGCAGCCTGCTGCTTCTTTCGTTTGTTTCCAGAAAACGGGGAGCTATGCGTCTCACTACATCCGTGAATTTGTTGCATTGCCAGTTGGGAAAACCACGGCTTATCGATGGCGCGTCATCGATAGACAGCAGTGTTGCCGGCCAGCCGTTTTCAAGCCAAAAAATTTTTTTTGGCAAAATAAAGCTAAATTCTATATTTCATTATTTTAGTTTTCAATATTTTTCTTTACTTGGAAGTATTGAAGGACATACGGAAAACATTAAAAATGGAATTGTTATCATAAAAGTTCTGGCTTATGACGTCATTGCTTACAAGTAAATAGATATGTATAGATGTATAAAGACATCCATGTCTGAAGATATATTTCTCTTAAAACTTCTAAACGGACTAACAAGAGTCGAGTCGATAGACAACGGTTTTTAAGACAATTTTTTACCAAAAGCTTTAGCATATAGTTGTCCGATCCCCATCAAGGGTTAGTAAATGTCTACATCGACCTACATTACCAAACCCGCTGCAGAGTATGAAAACAATAATTTTAACGAAATGTTTAGAAAAGTATTATTTATTTTAATTTACTCTTTCCTTGTGTAACTCTTACTAAATATCTTTTATTATTGATGCTTTAAAGGAAAAGCCAAAGTATAAGCACCTTATCCTTTTGCTCTATAGGCGTTTTTTTTGTATCCAACTGGCGCTGGCTTTCTTCACAACAATGTTCTTGGATTTTACTAAAGCTGGACGAAAAGTTCCGGCAAAAGCGCGTAAAGCCGATGGTATGCTTGAAAGCAGCACAGAACCCGAAGGGACTGGACTCCTAGCATAGGATGTACCCTTCTTCAAGGTAGCAAGGGTACATTTTGCTGCCGTTTTGGACCAATGTAAAATCTCGGTACTCGGTACCACAACTGTTTTGGAAGCTGTGTATAGTCCAGATCGGGATCCCTTGAAAAGTGTTTTCGCCATTTTGGCAACCACGTTCGCTGGCGTTGCTAAGGACGAACTGGAAGTTGCAGTTGAACCTACGCCTCCTGGCCCTTGGATTACTGTTTTGGCTACGACTTCGGCAGCCGAAGATAAGGGTGCTTTCAGAGTACTAGGAGAAACTCGAATATTTGCTCCTGTAGCCAGTTTTCCGAGACTCAGTATTCTTTTCGATCTCAATGTCACTAGCCCGGAGATCAATGTCCATAGGTATCCGGGATGCAGTTCGCTTAGTTCCTGCGTTGGAATAGCTGGAGGAGTGATTGGCTGGGGAACTGGGATTATTGGCGGAGATTTCTGGAATACCCGGTACGCCACATAGGTGCCAACCAGCACGCCTCCGATTACGACAGCCACTTTGAGCTTTTTGTGGAAATTACCAGGCGATGTTTTGATGATTCGTAATTCAGACAGTTGGCCACTAGCGTTCTCGGACGGAATGATGGCTTCTAAGTCCCTAAACGACAGGCGACGATCGTACGAAGCCCTTTTATGATGGTCAATTAGCACGCGGTAGGCGTCGTTGATTTTAAGGAACTCCCCCGCTCCATTCTCGTTTTTGTCGGGATGATATTGCAGGGACAACCGCCGAAAAGCTTCTCTGATCTCACTGTCGCTGGCGTTTCTCGCCAAGCCCAGAACATGGTAGTGGTCTTTGTAGACGTTGCTCATTTTATTCTGCTATCAAGATATCAATTTAAAATTCCAATTCGTCAACATAGAACTTACCATACACTCTTATCGAAATATCGGTATTTTATGGTATTTTATCGGTAATAATGGTATTTTAAAAATTGAAAATATCTGCGCTACGTGTAGAAACAGAAATATGCAATCGTCTCGAAAACCGGGGATCAAATGGTAATGAAACTTTTTGCATAAATAATTAATAAAATTACAAAACTTTCAAGATACCGCTCAATGAGCGGAGCTATAAATATTTAAAGTTAGCGCAGAACTCTTATTGTTAATATAAAAATTATTTAAAAATTTATGCCGTGACTATTATTTTTTTTTTAAGAAGTTGTTTTAATATTCTTTAGTTAAAATCGCCGCTCGAATTATATATCTGTAATATATGTATTTTTTGGTACCCAGGGAACACCACGGGGAGGACATTACAATTGTAATGGGGTCGTATATTTATATGACCTTTGAGTCGACTTGAAATAATAAATGTTAAACATAAAATATCAATTTTATGCATATAACAGTCATTATTTGAGTGAAACCATAATGAGAAATCGCTACTTTCATTTGTGCACTTAATGCATTGCTCTACAAATAAATTGTTGTATACACCGTTGTTTTTTATTATTTTTAAAAATGTTTTCAAAAACTTTAATGTGTATTTTGCAGATATTAAAAAAAAGATGGTGCCTTTAGTTTTCCAAAGACCGATTCTATCGAGTAGTTTTTCTCATGTATGAAAAGCTCAGATGGAACTGTTAAATGCTAAAATTGCAAGGTTTTTAAAAATATCAAATTAGAATATAACAAAAACATTCAACAAAATAATATTTGCATTTCAAATACTGAAAATTGGTAATTTACATAAGTTTGCATTTTTTTTACTTGTATACTAATCATTTGCACTAATAAATATACTAAATAAATAAAAAATTCATATGCAACCTGTTTATTGCAAAATTGAATTCTTGAGGCAGGACCAGCGCTCCTAAGAATCACTAAGAATCACTTTGTACTCGATTGCCAGAGTACAAGTAATATAGATTTTTGTTTAGGAAACTTATTTTCTTGTAGCCCTATAATTCCCAACTAGTTCTAGTGAAGACTGTAAGGCATGTCTTCTAATTTAGAGTCACAAAATATTTCAAGTAATCTCTCTTACCGGTCGAGCAGTGAGTGTAGTGTATGTACCGGTGTATGCATGTATGTATGTATGAACGTATGTATGTATGTATGCATGTATGTATATATGTATGTATGTACACTCCCAAATAACGAAAAAATGAATGAAAAACATCCTCAAGTTCCAAATTCCACCGTTCCCTATCGACGCTAATCTGACGCACATAGGATAAATCTATTATGGATATAAATCTATAAATATATCTATGAAGTAATAAACAACAGTGCAACCTGCAGTATTTGCAGAAAGCACAATAAAACGAGCAGAACACATTTAACCTCTTGTCGCACAAATATCATTGTCGCAAAAATATCATCAAGATGCCTATTTAAAGTGTGACTGATTTACATTTGATTATTATATGCAGATTAAAAAATCTGTCCATAACAACAATTAAATTATTTTTTTAACGCTCAAAATTTGTATAAATACATGTTAAACCTTTGTTTTGTTAAAAAATAAATTAAATAACTTTTTATATAAATAAACTTTCAGAAACCGACTGCTGAGATAATTTATCTTTTGAAATACATATGCGAAAAAAAACAAAATCTAAAAAGCTTTGTTAAAAAACAAGATAAAAATAAATATAAGAAATTCGAATTTTAGTAAATACAATTAAAATAAATATTAAGCTCTGAGCACAACCAGCTATTAATGAAAGTGAAACAATAATATTGTTACATATATTAAAAACAATATCAACTATACTCTATATATTGAATTTATCGTGTGATATATATTTTATCATCTTGATAACATTTTGAAAAGCTACTTTTGAGCAAGAGTTGGCCGCATTCCACAACTTTTGTTTTTACTAAATAAAACCAGCAATATCAGTAACTACACATAATAAATGAGATCAACAGTCAATGTACAAGTTCCTATAAATTAATCTTAAAGACTATTCAGTGAAGGACGCTAGATCCCCGGTATTGCTTCACCAAGCCCTCCGATCGTTAGCTCAGTCCGAGGACGATCCATCGCCGTCGGTAGCCTCCTTTTTCCGGTTGAAAAACTGGAAGGTCTTATAGGCGGCGAATGCAAAGAGCACAGTTCCTCCGACGGCGCACATAAAGGGGAGCATGTCTGACGTGGGCTGGGCGAAGGTCGCCGGCTCGTCATCACACCTGAGGCCCTCCTCGCCGTACTTGTCGTATGTCTCGCGCTTTTCCTTGTCGGAGAGCACTTCGAAGGCGGCCACCACCTCCCTGAAGTGCTCCTCAGCCTGCGGATGGTCGTTCTTGTCTGGATGGTAGCGGAGAGCCATCCGGCGGTATCCTTTCTTCACTTCTTCGCTGGACGCATTTCTCTCGATGCCCAGAATCTTGTAGTAATCCTTACCCATTGTGGTGAAATGGGATTCTCCTTGTTCTGCTATAGTATGTGAGGCAGCGCATTAACTTGTTGGTGCTTGTGTATATTTTGGTAACTTGATTCGCCAATGAAGAAATTTAGCAAATAAACAGAACTAACATCCCAATCGATAAATTATTGCCCGCCAGTACAAGTGTGACCCTACCTCCAGAATACTGTTAACACGTTAACAGAAGAAATTCTGTCTAGCGCAGCAGCTGTGTAGCTGCACTGTTAAGCTCCCATTTGGCATTTATTAATAATTTATAATTTGTTAAATTATTTTTTTCATGTATTTTTTAAGGAATTATATATTTCAAAGATAAAATATTAATGTCGCTTTTCGAAATTGGTATTTTTTTTAGACCATATGGTAATTTTATCGCTATCGATGTGGTCACACTTGCTTCCGGCGCCAACTTCCCTCTTTCCGTTCTGTGAGCGAAAACCGAAAAGTCTGTGCTTTGGTAAGTATTATTAAAAGAGCGAAAAGATGTTGCATCCCGAGCTTTTTTGGGTGAATAACTGTTGCATGGCGCTGGCCCAGTACCGACTAATCGAGATCACATCTTCCGCAGTTCTTAAATTCACCCGACGAGTCCCTAATACAAAATCAAAATGGTTAGGGAGAACAAGGCAGCATGGAAGGCTCAGTACTTCATCAAGGTTGTGGTAAGTATAGAACCGCCCTCACTAGCTCGCCCCTGGCTTATGCTCTTAACTAATCCTCGCTAATTCCTCCTCCAGGAACTGTTCGATGAGTTCCCCAAGTGCTTCATCGTGGGCGCCGACAACGTTGGCTCCAAGCAGATGCAGAACATCCGTACCAGCCTGCGTGGACTGGCCGTCGTGCTTATGGGCAAGAACACCATGATGCGCAAGGCCATCCGCGGTCATCTGGAGAACAACCCGCAGCTGGAGAAGCTGCTGCCCCACATCAAGGGTAACGTGGGCTTCGTTTTCACCAAGGGCGATCTCGCCGAGGTGCGTGACAAGCTGTTGGAGTCCAAGGTGCGCGCCCCCGCCCGTCCCGGCGCTATTGCCCCTCTGCACGTCATCATCCCGGCCCAGAACACCGGCTTGGGACCCGAGAAGACCAGTTTCTTCCAGGCCCTGTCCATCCCGACCAAGATTTCCAAGGGAACAATTGAAATCATCAACGATGTGCCCATCCTGAAGCCCGGCGACAAGGTCGGCGCCTCCGAGGCAACGCTGCTCAACATGTTGAACATCTCGCCCTTCTCGTACGGTTTGATCGTCAGCCAGGTGTACGACTCCGGCTCGATCTTTTCGCCTGAGATTCTGGACATTAAGCCCGAGGATCTGCGCGCCAAGTTCCAGCAGGGAGTGGCCAACCTGGCCGCCGTTTGTTTGTCTGTGGGCTACCCCACCATTGCCTCGGCCCCGCACAGCATTGCCAACGGATTCAAGAACCTGCTGGCCATTGCTGCCACCACCGAGGTGGAGTTCAAGGAGGCGACCACCATCAAGGAGTACATCAAGGACCCCAGCAAGTTCGCCGCCGCTGCCTCGGTTTCGGCTGCCCCCGCCGCCGGCGGAGCTGCCGAGAAGAAGGAGGAGGCCAAGAAAGTCGAGTCCGAGTCCGAGGAGGAGGACGATGATATGGGCTTCGGTCTGTTCGACTAAGCTGGATCCCGAATGCAGGATGTCATTTGCAGCGACCACGGACCATCGCTTCCGCTTTCGACGTTTACCCACTAAGACCCTGTATTATGTTTTCTATATGCAAATTATTGCCGCGGTTTGACGGACCCTATGGCGAGTTGCATTAAACATGCAGTAAACTGCTCGAAAGCGCACTCAACTGTCTTAAATTTGTACGCAAATCGAGGTGGACATGGTGGCCAAAGACTGGCCCCAAAATCCGAAGGCTTCATTCCCCTTTAACAGTGCAAGAGGCGGCAGGTGCCGCCTGCAGCTGCTCCCGGTCATCCGCATATTTACGAAGTAATTACTTGTGATAAAATGAATTTCACAAGATGAGAAAAGTTTAAAGTTTCTGCTGCCGTCGTCGGCGACTTTTGCGATTTCTCTTGCTTTTCGCAAAGACATCGTCGACGGAGACGCTCATAAAAATTCAATTTGTCTTGACAAAATACGCAAGAAATTAAGAATGTGCCAAGTGGCGGCAAGAGAAACTTTCCTTCCCTTTTTCCCATTTTCCTGCACATTTCTTGCTCGTCTGGCGAGCGAAAATGAGTTACGCGACTGGGGCGTGAAAGTGCCACGCCCTCGCGGCGATATGTCGCCCCTGAAGCGCAGGAAGGGGGTGGGCAGGAAATGGAAGCTGGCGGAGCAGGAGCCGCGGGCCAAGTTAAACACTGCATAAATAGCTGGGACCGAAATGAAAGGCCCTGACGAAAATAAATCCTCCGCAGGCCTCTTTGGTTCTTAGAGATGGGATCGTGAGCCACCTTTGAAGTAATTGGGGATGTGTTATGAGCTATGGTCTATATGAGCTATAGATTTACACCAAAGACATTGGATGAAGGCATTTTATACTCCATAAGTTGTAGCGCGCTTGGCCAAGTTTTACTCTTTACTCTTCGAATATGCAAATTTTATTTTCGGGGACGCTTTAATATTAATATAATATTAATATTGTTTGAGAAAACAATCTGCATTCGAAAATGACTAAAAAATTACTGCGAATTTTCCAGAAAATAATATGGTGTTTTAACAGCAAAGTAACCCGAAAACCCTTTATAACGTAAGTAGTGTATGATTCCCACTTGGACGGTATAAAGGGGTTCAAAGCACGCCTAGCGTTAAGTGGCTCACCATTTATCTTTCTTCAACTGTCTTTATTTTAAATTACCTCCCGGGAATATTATCACTTGAGTGTCACGTTGTCATCCCTCAGCTTGGTATGTTAGAGTCCCATTTGGTTTTGAGATAAATTAATAAAGACATTGCATAATTCGGGAGCCGCTGGCGTCAAATATACACAGGAATTAGCATAAACTGTGGGGCGGCTGACCAGCCCCACAAACCCCCCACCGCACCACCCACAGCACCACCCACCGCTTGCCACTCAATCAGCAGCAAGCGGCATTTGAAATCAAAATGCGATTGGCAAAATGATTTGCTTCAATTTTTGTGATGCGCATAATAAATGAAGTTTGGACATTTGGACAATTGATTGGGATGGTTGGATGGGCATGCGGTGGCCAGTGCAGGGGCGGATCGGGCAATCCGTAAGGAGTGGTCCGAGAGACAATGTACATACAGACAATGTACGATATACCACCACACATCGCATCGCATCGCATCACATCACACACTCCATCGCTATGTTTGCCATGCACAACAAAATGTGGAGCAGTCGACAGATTCGAAATCTGATTCAGATTCAGATTCGAGTTCAGGACTCCGGTCCAAGTGCCAAGCCGCCCCTCCGCCGACCGGGAATCCCCCGAAACTGGACTCGATTTCGGCTATCCAATGCGCACAGATAGATTTGTATGCATATTTTTGCTCTGGCATTTCGTTTGTGTGCTAAACATGTGAATGCCATCGATATAACGATGCTGCTCCTGCTCCTGGTCCTGCTCCTGCTCCTGTCGTGCATGCTCCCAAAGTTCCCCATCCGCCACCCTGTGCGCTCAGCTGTGATTTGTTTGGCCAAAAGATTTGGAGCAAAACGATTTAATTCTTGTGGAATGGCTCAAACGATTCCGTTCCTGCCGGCTACTTCTACTAGAGCACTGTGAGCCAGAAGCGGAGTTTCCAAACGGACTTAGCCCAGCAAACTCTACATGACTTCACCCGCGAAAATATGTTTGGGCTTACGCTACTCGACATCAATGGCTCAAATAATTAGTTTGCCAAACTTCTGATCAATATCATGTTAATAGCGACTGCAGTCACCAAATGTTGCATGGCATGTACATTGTACAACCTACATACCTGTTACTCAAGTAAATAACTTGATAACTAAGCTGTTCTTATGCGTGCCATTTGATTTTGCAACTCGCAGTGCAATATGGATCGTATTTATTTTTAAAAATGTCATGATTTTGGGTATGCCTACTAAAGTTTGCAAAGTGTTAGATTGTAATCATGCCAGAATAGCATGAATGGCCAGAAATGGATTTTTTAATTTTAAAGCGAAAAAAGTTGTTGAATCCAGTGAGCATTTGAGGCGGGAGATTAACCACCCGCAAATGGGCGGAACTTTGGTTAGCATCAGCCGGCTGGATCCGAGATGATAACTGAAACAGAAATCTATTTTCCGACTGACTGGCGAGCAATACAAACACATTTTCCGAGCTGTGCCAGGGGTAGCGGGGTGTGGAGGGCGGCACGAAAGGGGAAGCCGAAAAAATGAAATAATGGAGATCTGGCAAGACTCGCGTGATTGTTTGCCGGGTTGCAGGGGCGGCTCCTGGCCACGCCCTTGCCCCTACACGCACGCATCCCCGGGCACCACATGCTCAATTTAGTCTCGTCACATCAAAATGTTTGCTCGTTGCGCTGTTTGCCGAGCTATTTGCTGCCATTGTAGTTGTGAACGGGGAATAATTTGGGGGCGCTTACCGCGTTTAATTTATCTATGCATATGTTTTGAGATGCCAGCAACAGCACGAGTTCTCGCTGAGGTAGCCCGAAAGTGGAGGCCTGCCCAACATAAATCACAGTCAACAGCACGCATACGCAGACTCAGCGACCAAATCTCCCACCAATCACCCAGCGAACCACCCACTCGAGCACCACCCACACCCCTTTTGTGGCGCGTAACTTGTGGCCTATTTGACGGAAAATCGGAGGTTGTTTGCAACTTGCCGCATTTCGTTCGATCTTAACCCTATCCGGGGCGCTTGGGTAACTCTATGCTTTCAGAATAAAGCTCCGTCCAGTCGCTTTGGTCCTGATCATGTCCTTGGCCTCGGCCTTGGCCCTAGAAAAGAAGCGTCGTTATTGGAAACGTTTGAAATCAATACATAAATAAATGGCATTTTGCCTTCTGCATAGTACCAAAGCCACTAGATATAATAATAACTAGTTAACTATATAACTAACTTAACTATATAACTATATAACTATAACTAATATATTATAATAACTAGAATAATTAATCTAGTGTCTTTGATAGTACCAATATGAACATACGCAGAAGGAAACGTTTCCCACCATATAAAGTATACATATTCTTGATCAGGACATTATTTTTTCCCCAATTTCTAGCGATATTCCAGAAAATATTGAAATTTCTCGTTTGTACTTCCTCTAGCTGACTAACAGTTGTTGAACTCGACTATAGCATTCTCTCTTGCTTAACAGTAATTTACACCCACAAACCGCTCCAAACCAAAGACACTAAAATTATTCTAGTGTCTTTGCCCAAACTCACGCCCACACTTTTGAAAAATGTTTTGATATTTTATCATGTTTTATTAGTTGTGTAAATTTCTATTGATTTGGCGCATAATCGTTTTGCCACGCCCACTCTACTGCCCACAAACCGCTCAAAACTTTCACGCCCACATTTTTGAAAAATTTGTAATTTTTATAATTTTTTTTTTTATTTATTTTTTTATGCAGATGCTACCGATATTCCAGAAAATACTGAAGTTTCTCGTTCGAGCTTCTACAAGCTGAGTAACGGGTATCTAATAGTCGGGGAACTCGACTACAGCATTCTATATTGTTCGATATAGATTCTATCTTGTTTTTTTGTAGTCGCGTTATTTAAAATATATATAGATCAAATAAAAAATAAAACCCAAAATAAAAAATATACTAAATACATTATGTAAGAGCATTAAATCAGCGCACTTGAAGCCCCATCACTCTGAGGTAGCTTACCCCGCAAAACATCCGACTTGGGGTCCTTGAAATCGGGACGCTTTCATGAGACGCCGAGGCTCTTTGGGACAGTGGTAACGGTTGTGTTAACGGTAACAATAAACGACAAAACCCGTTACGACGAGCGATGATTGCAAGGCAAACGAGCAATTAAAAAGCGGTGTGCCGGGGGAGCTGCCACCCAGGACGCACATCCTAGAGAGGGAGAGAGAGGGAAGCACTCCGGTTTTTGCCACGTACGAGGCATAACCTTTTGGCCTCCTTCTCGGCACAGCTGTCAACGAGCGCGAGTGTGAGTGTGAGTGTGTGGGTATCCTTCGAATCCAGGATCCCTGGAATGCTCTTGCTCCTTGGAGGCATTTTTACGGCCCCGTTTTTACGCTGGAAGCGGGAATTTTCACGTCGGGTATTTGAAATATGCACGTAATATTGCAAAATTTTAACCGTATATATTGCATAATTAACTGAGAAAATACTTAGCACACGAATGAAGGCGCAAAGAGGCAAAGGGGCTTCTCCGCCGCCAGGCATTTTTACCGCAGCTTCCAAATCTCTTGCAGAGGAGCGAATGAAACTTTTGCAATGATACTTTCGGTCCGCAGGCCACCCATCCTCATTCCGCTACCCAGGTTGTGTGGAATTTTTAATCTGCCATAGAGCCACAGCTCTGTACTGATCCCACAGAGAGAAAAAAACTTCTTATTATGGCATTAAGAAATAGAGTTTGGCTCTATCTGTATGAAGTGTGGCGATCCCGTCAGTGAGGCAGTGAAAAAGCTTGGCATATTAAAAGTAATTCGTAAAACTAAATATTAGATTGTTTATATCGATGCTTATTTATGGTTTTCCCTGATAAATATACAACCTAAAATATAAAACTCCTCCGATGGATAGTATCCAATGAGAACTGTATTTATTTATTTCATATTCTTGGAACATTTAATTTCTTTGTTTTTTTCTGGGTGTACTCTCGGGCGTTTACACAGGGTCATGTATCTTTCTTTACTGCGGAGCTTTGCATCTTTACGCTTTGCTTAAATATTTTAATTTTTATTGGTCGGAGTTTGCCAACTGTCTTTGGCCGTCGTTGGCTGTATAGGAAGGAGGCTTTTCGGCTTTGATAAAGCTGTTAAAAGTGTGTTTATTTTCTGGTGCTTAGAACTGCTGCCGCCCCGCAGATAAACTCGCATATAAATGTGTTTTCCAGCTGAACAGAGTCGAATTCGCAGCTCCCGGAGGAGGAAGATGATCCAGCACCAGGTGACCGACGCATAAACGGCAGTCGAGGCAGAGCTGCACTCTGATAGCCATAATCATAGGCCATAATGACTGCTCGGGCCGGGCCTGGGCCAAAAAACTCGATCACTAGCAGGCGAAACTTTGTGAATGACATCGAACCGAGGTGTGTGTGTCATTTGCATAAAAGTAAAGTTCACCCACTCGGATGGTTGGAAATGCAACCTGGCAAAAGTTTTTGCCAAATTTAAATTATAAATAAGCTCAGGGCGGGTCGAGGGGCCAACCAGACCAAGAGAAGGAGCAGGAGCAGGAGCAGCAGCACTTGCCTTCCGAAACAAAACCTCATATGCATCGAAACGTAATGGCAAAAAGGATTTTAAGTGAAGTTGAAGTTGACTACACGACCGCATTGAGGGAGTGGCCCATTCGCATCCCCCGAGACCACTTACACCATTGCAGTTCCGTGGAAAGTTTGCCGGGTGGAGCGGGATGAGCGGGATGAGCGGTGGGGGTCCCAAAAATAAGCTCAAAGTGAGAACTGAACGCGGCATATTCCGCCCCAGCAGACAAAGTGCAAAGTCCCCCACACTCCTCTATGCAGTGTGTATATCTTTCATGTATGCGGTGTATCTTCCGGGTTGGAGCAACCACCAGACAACCACAGGCAACAGGGAACGCATGCTTAAATGTCATGTAAAATGTTTCCACTTACACAAATTACTGTGTATAATTTAATTTTGCCACAGGCCGGCTGGGAGCCTCCGATTTGAATTGGTTACACCTATTGGCTCCACCGGATCTGTGAGTGATATAAAGGGCTCCACCGCTTTCGCCATGGTATTCATAATCGCCATGAACTTCCTACAGATCGCCTTGCTGGTGGTCCTAGTGGCAGTGGCCTTGGCCAGAGCACAGGATGATCCACCGACAGATCTGCCAGCTCCAGACGCAACAAAACCACCAGCAGCAGCAGCAGCTGGTGCTCCAGCTGGTGTCCCGGGTAAAAATAACCAAAATGTCAATCACAACGTTGTGACCATTGGATAAAATACTTTGGAAGGAACTTCTCCCAATTTAATGAAGCCGAAATCTTGATTAAAGTACATAAAAGTACTTTTTGAAAGCATTAGGGAAGCGTAATATAAATGTGCGTTAATAAATAATTTTCATTTACATATGTCGCAGTGTGAGCTTATCTCAATAACGAGTGGAGTATTTCCCCAATTTAATCTATAAAGCAGTTTACTGCTTGACTCAGGGCTCGCAGATCATCATCTCTGTCTGAGTAAGGGGTACCTGATAGTCGCGGCAGTCGAATTAAGCGCTCTGTCTTATTTTTCAGTTCTACTACGTTTAAGTTTTTATCACTTAGGCTTTTATACTTAAATAGGCCTGAGAACTTTGGAAGGAACTTTTTCCAATTTAATGAAGCCGAAATCTTGATTAAAGTACACCTTTTTGAAAGCATTAGGGAAGCGTAATATAAATGTGCGTTAATAAATAATTTTCATTTACATATGTCGCAGTGTGAGCTTATCTCAATAACGAGTGGAGTATTTCCCCAATTTAATCTATAAAGCAGTTTACTGCTTGACTCAGGGCTCGCAGATCATCATCTCTGTCTGAGTAAGGGGTACCTGATAGTCGCGGCAGTCGAATTAAGCGCTCTGTCTTGTTTTTCAGTTCTACTACGTTTAAGTTTTTATCACTTAGGCTTTTATACATAAATAGGTCTGAGAACTTTGGAAGGAACTTCTCCCAATTTAATGAAGCCGAAATCTTGATTAAAGTACACCTTGAAAGCATGGAAGCAGGGAAGCGTAATATATATGTGCGTTAATAAATTATTTTCATTTATGTCGCAGTGTGAGCTTATCTCAATAACGAGTGGAGTATTTCCCCCAATTTAATCTATAAAGCAGTTTACTGCTTGACTCAGGGCTCGCAGATCATCATCTCTGTCTGAGTAAGGGGTACCTGGTAGTCGCGGCAGTCGACTGTAGCGCTCTGTCTTGTTTTTCAGTTCTACTACGTTTAAGTTTTTATCACTTAGGCTTTTATACTTAAATAGGCCTGAGAACTTTGGAAGGAACTTTTTCCAATTTAATGAAGCCGAAATCTTGATTAAAGTACACCTTTTTGAAAGCATTAGGGAAGCGTAATATATATTTGCGTTAATAAATTATTTTCATTTATGTCGCAGTGTGAGCTTAATGTTGAGTATTTCCCCAATTTAATCTACAAAGCAGTTTACTGCTTGGCGCAGGACTCGCAGATCATCATCTCTGTCTGAGTAAGGGGTACCTGATAGTCGCGGCAGTCGACTGTAGCGCTCTGTCTTGTTTTTCAGTTCTACTACGTTTAAACTTAAACGCTTTTTATACTTACGCTTTTATACATAAATAGGCCTGAGAACTGGAACTTATTTTTGTGAAATCCGTCATATAAGCTACTTTAGAGGACTATGCAGTGTCAAATAAAGTGCTTATCGAAATAAATGTTCTCACGTTTCTCTGTTCTACTTATAGATATTGTTATTATAGCGATAAAAGCGACCATATAATTCCAAAGAAAACCAATTTACAAGCTACAGTTTTGACAGCTGAATAATTGGCACTGGAACTAAAGTATTCAATAATATAATATGTGATTTTAGTTCTTCGGGCTAGGGTTGGTAATTCCTCCAGTAATTCGATTGATTCCACTTGGCGGTCAATCAAGTAAAGTAACGAAACATCTGCTTTCCGAATTAACAACAAAGTAGTAACCCCTATCTGAAGGGTTACGTATCTGCCCACTCAACTCTACTTTGCTACCCGGTCCCACAGGTCTAATTCTTCCAACCCAATATATCCATTAAAGCGCATCCGAATTCTCTCCAGATATTCATCACTTAAGACAGCAGTAACCAGAATGTTCCCCCGTTGCCTAGACCTCCCCTCCCGCGGCCCATGTGCTGTTAACCCTTTCGAAGCTCTGGCATTTTTGGGCCAAATAAAGCATTTCGCTTTGGGTTCGGGGCGACAAGGGGTCTCATGTGTGATACGGTTGACAGACTTTTAGCTTCATTGCTTGATTTGTTTAAATGTCTTTACTGTGTTTGGTTTATGGTTTCGGTGGCGTTGTGGAGGCTTGGGGGCTTGGAGGGGGTGGCTTAGGGCTGAGGGTTGGGACCAAAAAATCTTGTTTTTGCCGAGGAAAACTTTGTCGTCCATTGCATTTGCTGATGGATCATAGATACAAAAAGTTATTTGCACAAGCTGATATCACCCCTCACCCCTCACCCTCTCCAGCTTCCTCTTTCTGTTGGCTTTGTAAATGTCAACATATGCATATAATAATAAAAACAAATATGACCAAACTCTCTGACAGCTTGGCTCAGCACATTTTCCAACCCCCCTCCACATCCAAGGAAACTGAGTGTGTGCTGATAGGCAGATGCGGATACAGATACATTTGTATCTGGCGCATGCATAATGTATAAATAGCTCACATTAATTAATTGCCTTGCCAAGTAATAACATGATTAACATCCAAACGAGATTTGCCGTCCCAGCCATTCATTCACTTTTCGGCCCGACTGCAGCCAATTAACCCTTGGCCATGTTATCCGTCAGGCCAGGAACTTTTCGGTTATGTTTGCCCCAAAGTATCTGAAAGTTATTTGAACATCTAATGAGCATGGATATGGCTTAATGAATCTGCTGCATAAGCGTGTTTTAGGTATGCAAATGAAGTCGATGGTTTCCTTTGAAAATTCCAGTTTACGAGGTATTCCGTATAGATTTGAAGGAAGTACTTATCTACTTATCTATCGATTCATCTCAAAACAGTATTTGTAATACTTTTCGTATAATTAAATCCCTTAAACGTATTTTGCAATAATATAGATTTCGTTAAGCCAAAATATCATGATAAGATAGAGCTGTTCGTATACGCAAGGAATGAATTACAAATGGTCCCCAAAAATCCAGCTTCTACTTTTCAGTTCCATTCGTTTGTTTACACTTAAGTGAAATCTGTGTGGGTTTCATTTCAGCATCTTAGCATTTTGAGCACAAACAAATTACTCGAACTCAGCAAAAAGGGAAAATCCTTGAGACAGACTCCCAGAGGGAAAAAGGAAGCTAGGAAGCTGGCTGCGGCAGGTTGCACGTTGCAGATTGCTAAAATCTGAATTACCCGAAGAAATTGTAACAAATACAAAAGTCAATGGAGCTGCAAAAAGAAGTTTTCAGCTGTCTTCCACTGGCAGAAGGTAAATCTTGCAAGCCAAAACTTTCAACTTGCTTAAATAAACCCCGAGCTGCATGCCACACACAAACACATTCGCACACAGCCTAGAAAGGGATGGGCCTTTGCGGGGGGAGGGGCTCTAAGCTGATTTTACACATGCACACATGGCGGGCAGGACTCTTAGAACTTCAGGACTCCGATTTAGATTCTGAATGTTTCCGATTTGCCCTCTCGCTCTGCTCGCATTTTCGGCATTTTGATTATCTGGCACAGTGGTGAAGCGGTGGTAAGTCTGGCGAATGTCGCACGATTTAAGATATAAGATATATATTAAATATGAAATATCTAATTTTCTCGCGAATGGACGAAAAGTTTGTTGTGGTTGTGTATTGTGTATGGTTTTTTGGTACTCTCTAAAGTCACATTCATTGAACACATTTTTTTTAATAAAATGTTGGGAGTAAACATTACAAATTGTTGCACTTTAATTAAAAAATGTTTAAAAAATGTTGAAAAATTTTAAAAATTGGCTTCAAATATTTATTAATAAATATTTATATTTTTATTTATTTAAATAAATATTTTTTAAAATGTTGGGAGTAAACATTACAAATTGTTGTACTTTAATTCAAAAATGTTTAAGTATTTATATGGTTTGTGTTTATGGTTGAAAAATTTACAAAATTGGGTTAAAATAATATATTTTTACATAGCATGGATTGCTTCGCTTGGGGTTTCCTAAGATTATGATCAAAGGATTTGATTATTATTTGCATATTTGTGTGCAATTAATTTTGGCGCGCCTGAAACAGAGAGTGGCTACCACTGTGCAACACACTCAGGTTTCTCTGTTGGTTCCGCCTTGCAGCCGAGAACGACCTTGGCAACAACAACAATGACTCCAACATGAGCTGATCCAACAACAACAGAAATCAATGGCATACAACTAGCCAAAGCCGAAGCCAAAAGCTCACAGTCCGCCGTTCCCCAATCCTCCAATCCCCATTCTCCATTCCCCCAAATCTTGCCCCTCGACCAAGTTGCATGCTCAGCATTTCGTGGGCGGAAGGGTGTGCGGGGGCGGGAGGAGCTTAGAGGGGGTGGTGGGTGGTTAGGGGCGGCTCGGAAGTTTGCAAGTTTTGCGCTTCCGTCGTTCGAGGATATTTGTCTGCTGAATTAATTGGAATTAGTCGCGACATGCTTATACCAAAAGTCTAGAATAAACAATAAAATGGATACCTATTCAAATAAGATTCACACACACACACACACAGCCACACAACACTGACACAAATAGAGGGAGAGAGTGCGCGTGAGCGAGAGGGAAACTGAACTTGATGGGGAAACAATGCAAAGTTTTAATGAATTTTGAGTTAAGTTTTCAGCGAGGTCGAGGGTCGAGGGTCGAGGGTCGAGAGACACGGGGTGTGGGTTATGTCGACGAGCCCTTTGAGATTTCCTGTAAAATGTATTTGAAACGAGCAACGGAAATTGCATTATTTCAATTACGATTTCGCCGAGTTTGGGCGAGCGAAACTCGAGCAGACGGCAAACGCCGCAGGCAATTAGTCGTGTCAAAGCTTTCATTATTGTTTTGTCATATTTGCCCACCTCCCACTTCCCCCGACTTGCGTGTGTCATCCGCACTGTAAGCTCGTAATTAATATATAAATATATTTATGTGCAGCAGAGGCCGCAGAGTGGAATAGATTTTATTCAACCAGAGCGAACTTTCGCGCCTCAGAATCGCCCTGAATGGCCAATTGTTGTGGCAGCAACAAAGCCAAACAAATGGACTGAGATCAGCTCCCCGCCGGGAAATTCACAGGCGAAAGCGTAGAGTTTTCCGGCCGCCGACTAACTTTCAAGGGTCACAGGGAGTGGCCGGAATGTCCTCGGGGCAAATCTCGTCATTTCCAAAAAATATGCACTGCTATCAAA